CCTGTGAGGTGGGTGGGGCTGAGAGAACTCTGACACAAACTGCTCTTTTTCAAGGACAGCTGTGTCAGAGTTTGTGACTGACCCAAGGTCACATCAGCAGGTGCAAGTGGAGGAGTGGGGAATCAAACCCGGTTCTCCGCCCTTTACTACCCAAGGGAGTCTCAGAGCGGCTTACAAACTCCTTTCCCTTCCCCTCCCCACAAGACACCCTGTGAGGTAGGTGGGGCTGAGAGAGCTCTTACAGAAACTGCTCTTTTTCAAGAGATCTCCCTTCACTACCCAAAGGCGTCTCAGAGCAGCTTACAAACTCCATTCCCTTCCCCTCCCCATAACAGACACCCTGTGAGGTGGGTGGGGCTGAGAGAGCTCTTGACAGAAACTGCTCTTTTTCAAGAACAGCTGTGCCAGAACTATGGCTTGCCCAAGGTCATCCAGCCAGGTGCAAGTGGAGGAGTGGGGAATCAAACCCGGTTCTCCCAGATTAGAGTCCGCGCACTTAACCACTACACCAAACTGGCTTACACACACACAACCAGTCCTCAAACAGAATGATGTGAGCTAGTGCATTTTGCATCACCTCTTCCTTTCCTTCCCCTGGTAAAAAAGTAAACTGTAAGCTCCTCTGGGCAGAGTCCTTGCTTGGGTTTTCTTTGCTTATGTTATACATTATTACTGAGAGCCGGTGTGCTGTAGTGGTCAGAGTATTAAATTAGAACTGGGACAACAATGGAGGATAGGTCTATCAGTAGCTGCTAGCCATGGTGACTGAAAGGAACCTCCATGCTCAGAGGCAGTCAAACCCAGGATTCCAGTGCCAGGAGGCAACATTGGGGGAAGGCCTGATAATGGGAAGGAGATGGTTGGTCACTGTGTGAGACAGGATGCTGGACGAGATGGACCATTGGTCTGATCCAGCAGGGCTCTTCTTATGAATCCTTGGAAGCACACTGAGTGACCTGGGGTACGTTACAAACTTTCAGCCAAACCGGTACTTCAGAAGGCTGCTGTTAGTAGGACAAGAGAGAAAAGAACGATGCGGATAAGAAGCTTTAGGGATATATATATATATCCCCTAGAGAGGATTGGTGGGAAGGCAGTATTCAAATATTATTTACATATATATATAAATAATATAGGTTCTTTTCAGCAGTAGGAGCCGTAAAGCGAGACCTTTCTTGCAGCCGTGGCTGCGGGACTGCGCGAGAACAAGAACATTAGAGATATCGGACGAAGAGGAAAGAATTTACACTTCCGGTTTCCGTTTGAACGCCGCCTTTTTGCGGGGCGACGAGCTTCATACAGAGCGGGAGAGCCGCTTTTGCATTCGCCTTCCTCTGCCCGTTTCTCTACATTGGCTATCGACGCGCCGGGAGCCGGAAGTGTTGATGTATGGTGTTTTTTTGTTTTGAGCAAATAAGAGCATAACGTGAGCTTTCCTAAAAAAGCAGAAGGGGGTGGGGGGACGGGACGGGTCGGTTGGTTCATGTGCTTTGCACGCAGAAAGTCTCAGGTTCAGTTCTTGGTTCCTCTCGTTTAAAACCCCCCAAAAACGGAGGCTCTGGATCCGTCAGACAGAACCGAATCTGATAGACGAACGAACTCAATAGAAAAGCAGCTTCACGTGTTCAAATACAGGTCGTATTTGATGGACACGCAAGAGACCAGAGAACTCCCGTAAGAACGTGGACTTATAATGTAAACCTGGAGGCAGGAAAAGAGTGCAACCAGAGACCCGGTGGTTGGACGAGCGCACCAAAATCTGGCCTTGTGGTATAGGCGTCCCTCCTCTGCTGGTGATTTTTATTAATATTTAAAGGCACGATTCTAAAAACGTCCGTCGATATTATTTTTTTAATCTCCCTAGTAGTCAAAAGTCTCTCAAACGTCTTCTAATGAGCTGTGACAGTTCTTGTCTACTTGTGACTTCTATCACATCAGGAGTGATACCCAGACATAATAGCTTATGGTCCAGTAGTCTGTCCTAATCACATGTGTGGTGATCCAGCATTGGCCACCCATGATTTTTTAAATGCTCAAGTATAGGAATGAGCTCCCAGAGGAGATCAGGGCCCTGCGGGACCTACTACAGTTCCGCAGGGCCTGTAAAACGGAGCTCTTCCGCCAGGCTTTTGGAGCCGCCGCCACCTCTAACAACTAGGAAGAGAAGCCCTGTTGCCCTGAAACTTATATTAACAACTGTGCCAACCACCGGAGGGGCACCTGAAAGACACCTACAGAAGATCTGTGCCGGCCCTAGGAAGAGAGAACTGATGGTAGCCATCACAAACTTTATAACAGCAAACTAGCACTTATTATAGAATTGTAATCTTTTAAATACCATTTTAAATGTTTTTTGCTCTATTTAAATGTTTTCCGCTGATTTTATGTTAAGCACCCTGGGCTAGGAGGGCGGGGTACAAATTTAAATAAATAAGATAAATAAATAGGACCATATATATGAAAAGTGGCACCACCCAGAAAATAGTGGCAAGCTGTTGTCCTCACCATTAGAAGAGTTGGTTTTACACCCTGCCCTTCACTACCCGAAGGAGTCTCGTAACGTCTTACTATCACCTTCTCTTCTTCTCCCCACAACAGACACCCTGTGAGGTAGGTGGGGCTGAGAGTTCTGAGAAAACTGTGACTGGCCCAAGGTCACCCAGCAGGCTTCATGTGGAGGCGTTGGGGATCAAATCTGGTTCTCCATATTAGAGTCCATCACTCTTAACCACTACACCAAGCTGGCTCCTGGACACAACATGAAGGAATGAGTAGCCAGATTTAGGCCTCTTTAAGGAGACTTAGGCAGTTGCCTAGGTCTGTTGTAGCAACAGTAACATGCAAAACAGATGCTACTCCCCCCAAAAAGTGAAAGATATTGAAGAGCTGTAGGATGGCATAGGATAATCCGTTGTAGAGCAGGGTCCTGGGCCAACTTTAGTATTCCTTCTGTTTGAGGTGTTAGTTAAATGGCATAGTGTAATGGTTACAATGTTAAGACTAGGATCTGGGAGACCCAGGTTTGAATCCCCCCCCCTCCCTCAGAAGCTTGCTGGGAGACCGTAAAAACTTAAGAACATAAGAGAAGCCAGTGTTGGATCAGGCCAATGGCTCATCCAGTCCAAAATACCAGGTGCCATCAGGAGGTCCAGGACACTAGAAGCCCTCCTGCTGTTGCCCCCCCCCAAGCACCAAGAATACAGAGTATCACTTGCCCCAGCTTGAGAGTTCCTATCTATAGGTAAAGGTAAAGGTTCCCTTGCTCGAAAGCCAGTCGAATCCGACTCTAGGGTTGCAGTGCTCATCTCCGTTTCATAGCCGAAGAGCCAGCGCTGTCCGAAGACGTTTCCGTGGTCATGTGGCCGGCATGACTAAACACCAAGGCGCACGGAACGCTGTTACCTTCCCACCGAAGTGGTCCCTATTTATCTACTTGCAATTTCTTGCTTTCGAACTGCTAGGTTGGCAGGAGCTGGAACTAGAGACAGGAGCTCACCCTGTCTTGCGGCACCCGGGTCTTGAACCGCTGAACTACTGACCTTCCACAGCCTGCAGTTCAGCGTCTTAACCACTTGAATACCTTGTGGCTAATAACCACTGATGGACCTCTGCTCCATATGTTTATCTGATTCCCTCTTGAAGCCATCCATGCTTGTAGCCACCGTCACCTCCTGTGGCAGTGAATTCCATATGTTAATAACTCTTTGGGTGAAGAAGTACTTCCTTTTATCCGTTCTAACCCGACTGCTCAGCCATTCCATTGAGTGCCCACGAGTTCCTGTACTGTGAGAAAGGGAGAAAAGCTTTCTCTACCTGCTCAATTCCCTGCATAAGCTTGTAAACCTCGATCATGTCACCTCTCAGCCGTCGTTTCTTCAAGCTAAAAGAGCCCCAAGTGCTTTAACCTTTCTTCATAGGGAAAGTGTTCCAACCCTTTTATCATTCCAGTTGCCTTTTTCTACACTTTTTCCAATGCTATAATATCCTTTTTGAGGTGCGGGTGACCAGAATTGCACACAGTATTCCAAATAAGGTCGCACCATCAATTTATACAGGAGCATTATGATACTGGCTGATTTATTTTCAATTCCCTTCCTAATAATTCCCAGCGTTTGTTGTTGTTGT